ACCCCCCCCCCCCCCCCCTTTTCCGAAAACCCCCACCTCACAGTCAGGAGATCTCAATAGATTCAAGTAAACGCGTCCATATTCGCCATTAAAGTGAAGAGCAGCCTTCTCCCTCACCTCAAACAGCTCTTTTTGTCTTCACTGTATACATTAAATTCTTCTCCATAACGTGAAGTTGATAAGTTCGAAGGTTGTAAGAAATGGGGTCTTGAAAAGGTTTGGTTTTCGCTTGCCAACAGCCGAAAAGATGCAACCAGATCATCTCTCCTCGACACGACACTAAACAATTACTGGTCGGTAAATGGACCACACTCAGACTGCAACCCCAATCTTGTACATGTGTGGTCAATTCCAGACTAGTTGTGACTTAAAATCATGATCAGCTCTTCTGTTTGGGTCACGGGACCTTTTTGGTTTTTGCTGTAGTAAGAGAGTGTTTGTGTTTCCGTGGAACGTGACTCTTAACATTAAATTCAAGTGTGTATTTTGTTTGTTAAGGCGTCTGCGGTGCAGAGGTTAGGTGATTCGCCTTCGCACGCAGAAGACATGAGTTCGATTCCTGTGTTGCTAGGTTTTCTGTCGAGTTTTCGTAAATATGAAACGGGGATTAAAAAACTGAACTTGTGGTGGGGATATTGTATTTATCTCTTTTTGAAGTTGGGGGAGTGGAGGGGGGGGGGAGGAGGCAGGGTGTGTCTGGGTTGTTAGTTTTGTTTGTCAGTGTACAGGGGCGTTGAGTTCCTCTTCACCCATGTTGGCCACACCTCGTAAATGATCTAACTTGTGTCGATGGGGGCCTAAAACCTTTACTGTTACCACAATGACATTTTTACAGTTAATTGTTTCCCTGTTCCCGCGAACTTAGCAGAAAAAGTTCAATGGGGAGAGACACTCTGAGAAATAATATTCTGAGATATTATTTGAAGAGATGATTTTTATATGCGGTAAAAGCTTTGCTGTTTGAACGCAGTTTCATAAACAATCGAAAGATTTACTGTAAGTGCCTTCAGAAATTTTCATGAAGTTGATGGGACTTGAGCCGTCCATCCCGAGTCACATGACCAATTACGTACACCCAGGGTCATCCTCTCTGTGTGGACACATTTAGGCCACCGTGACGTCATGCTAAAGAAAACACCCACCAAAAACAACCCCCCAACAGAACATTACCAAACACACAACAACACACACACACACACACACACACAAACACACACACACACACACACAAACGATATAAAACAAAACAAAACAAAACAAACGCTTTTAACATGTTTTAAGAATATGGAGTAAAAATTTACTTCTATCAGGTATTATATTGTAGGTACGTTAATGATAATTGGGCGCACGTTTCGTTATCTTAGTGGAAGGGAATGGGAATTCGTGTTAATCGGGTAGAGCTTCTGGTATAGTTATGTGATAAAGCGTTCGCGTTTTGGGATAGATAGATAGATAAATAGATAGATAGATAGATAGATAGATAGATAGATAGATAGATAGATAGATAGATAGATAGATAGATAAATGACAGTCTGCTTTTGTGTGTGTGTGTGTGTGTGTGTGTGTGTGTGTGCGTGTGTGCGTGCGTGTGTGTGTGTATCTGAGGGGTGGGGTGGATTGCAAACATGTTTTGGGGGCGGGGGGGATGTTCGGGTGTTGTGTGTATACGTGCGCGTGCTCATGCTTGTGTGTTTTAGAGAGATTGTGGGGAACAGATTAGGATGCGAGAATGAAAGAAGAGAATTCTGAGAGGTAGGAAGAGATTCACGGTGGTTGTTTTGAACGTAATGTAAATGATGTCAGGCCAGGTATTGCGAGGTGCACCTACCTGTGTTTGTCAAGTTTCCCGCCAAGAAACATTGTTTATCCAAAGAGAAGTCAAAAACAAAATTGACAGGAGTTGTTTTCTTTTGGTTCAAAAGACGTAAATTATTTGTTCTCTCAGAATAGAATGGTCTGTTTGACCGGTTCTTCATGCTCTTTTGCTGAAGCTCAGGCTAAACAAGACAGAACACGCATAAGATTTCAAGGACTGCTCCAGGTGTTTCTTTAGTCCATACGAATTTCCATGCCCCCCCCCTTTTTTCCCCCTCTCTTTCTCTCACTGCATCTTTCTCTTTCCCTCGCCTCCTTTCTCTTCCCCCTTTCTCTTCCTTCTCTCTTCTCCTCTCTTCTCTTCTCTTTTCCTATCTTCTCTTCTCTTCTCTTCTCTCTCTCTCTCCCCCCCCCCTCCCCCTCTCTTTCTCTT